TATTATCAGGTTAATAAACTATGCCAAATTTCAGAGACATTTAAAGACCCATGCCATAAATAGGAAAAAATTATGACCTGGTTTGGCCATATGAAGAGCAAAAATTACGGATAAGAAAAGTCTTAAAATCAACAAAAATAAAATGAAAGATATATATTGATCCAAATGACTTGCAAACAGCCAGATAAGGTTAAGATATGGAATATGAAGTAATTTGGCCAATTAAAGAGAAACAAACCTAACTTATCTATATAATTAATTTTATCCGACTAAAGAATAAAAGTTTAAATAAACTAAATTTAAAGAACGCAAGCGATAGCTAGCAATCTCAGGTGAGCAAAAGCAAACAGCACTGCTAACCTAGAAATATCTCCATCGCAGAAAAATGAAGGTGCTCAACCAAGAGTTTATTCCTCTGTACATAGTCATGTGTATTGATGGCCCTTCAAGATGACTAACTTGTCTAGATAAAATGAAATTGAAGCATAAGAGCTTTAGTCATTCTAGGTCGCTCAAGATAACGAAGGACTGATATTGAGCTGTCATATAATCATATGAATAGGTGTCACGATGCCGTGTTGGGAAATAGTAGCAACCTCGCAACCCAAGAGCTATCTAACTAAGGGAATGCAGCCGAGTAATTTCCAACATGCCACTACTACGCCACACCACCATGGGTGGCATTAGTTCACAAGACAGGCGTGAGTTTCAAGGTAAGAAGGACCCCCTTCATTTCAAATTTTAATAGTGTAATTATCAGTTTGGATTCCAGTTGGAGGTTCTTATGAAACTCAGGCTAGTTCGAAGTAAGATTTAATGTCATTATGAGGCCTACTTCTATCATTGTAGAAAAAGTCACTATCGGTCCTTCATCACTTTGAGTAAACTAGGGTGACTAAAGATCTTTAAAATATCTACGGATAGTCTAAAAATCCTACATAATCCGAAAATAAAGAATAACGCTTTCTACTGAGAAGCTAAGCTTAAATAAAATAAAGCTAAAAAGTAATTCGTACCAATAGTAAATTTTTCATGGTTTGTCAGAATTAGAAGTTAGAAAGGGGCTCATTGTGGATTGAAGCACAGGTCTTAGATGCCAAAGTTTATGAAATCTGGTATGGCATTCAGACTGTCAAAAATCTAACTGCCTTCGTTTGTCTGATAATGCCTTTGGCTTGTCTAACACTTTGAATGAAAGAAAAAATAAATACAAATTTGCTAAATACTCAGAACATTTAGCATATAAAAGTCTGACTAATCTCTGCCAAGTTTAAACTAGATATAGTAAAGAAATAAATGAGTAAACTAATCAGAATACCTGAGGCATCTCAAGATATCCACGGCCCAGACGAATATCGTAGACGATAGTTCGTGGGAGCTTCCAGTCAAGAGGAATAAAATCACGCGGTCCAAAAGCGGGAGGACTAATTTCTGGTGCGGGTGGATGCTGGCGCCGGATTATTTCCATATGCGAAGCAACGCTCGTAGGTAATGGTGGATTCGATTTAGTGGCCGCAGTCGTCAATGATTGAAGGCCTGGAGATGGGGCTTTGGAATCAGAATGAGATGAGGTGAGGCTTGGGCCGCTAATATTTGCATTGCTCGATGAGGAAGAATTAGAGTTCATTGTTGTTGTCGATAAAGACGAAATTGGGTTCGTTTTGCTATCAATACTGCTGGTAGCACCGGTGTCAGTCGAAGACGAGACCGAAGAAACTGGCATTGATGAGCCTCGAGGAGCTCGGGATTCACTACTTGGAGAAAGTAAGGCAAAACATAAAAGTAATTGGAAGTTCCTATTGTACCCAAGTAGCATTTATGGCAAGAGAAGCCTGACTCTTAGCGGTGAGTTATAAAACCAATATTATCGATAGCGGTTAATAGAACCTGCTCGGATCTTAAAGGTAATTCTAAGGGTAGAGCAGTAAGCGAAAATTTAGTGAATAAATGAAAGATATGCCATTAATAGCATAGAATGAGTTATGATGTGAGTAACTTTAAGAAAACATAAATTATAAGGATTAAGAAGTACCTCAGGAATATTCTTATTGACACCCCAAGCCAAAAAGTAAACTGTCCTACTGTGTTATGGACAATTTATGAAATAGTCTTCATTTGTTATAACCCTGATGAGGTTGAGAAGATAATTTTAGATTAAAATAAATTAAAGAAAAAATTTATTATTTCTTGTAAAAGCTGATGAACATAATGAAGTTGGGTCGAGAGGATTAGCAGCTCAGCTCTTCAAGGTCGGACGACAGAGCGCGGAGGATTACTGCGTCCGAATTGACGCAGTTAGGACAGTCTTTAATCGGTTACTAGAGGCCAATATGCAAACCCTATCCTCAAAACTCTTAATACGCAAAAAATTACCAAACACTTTCTAAATTAATACCAGGCTAAAGAACGTGGAAAAATATGGTAATATTTTAAAAATGTATGTTAGAACTGATGGTCCGATGGACATTTTAAGTCGCTTTGCTATTCAGGGCTTGACAGCTCAGTTGTTGCGGATGGGATTAAAAAGTGACAACATGTGATAGAGGTTTATTCAATATTTTGATGTTAAACTGACCGCGTTTCAGTTAAGAATATCTTTCTGTAGAACCCTCTAACGAGTTTTACATTCTGTATGAGGTTACTGAATGAGGTGAATTTTTGCTTTCCAAATTTTTAGTTGTATTAGACATGCCTAATACGAGACCCATTGTCTTGGGCCTCAAAGTCTCGAGAAAAGTAAAATATTAAAAAAACAGAACGGAAATTAAGAGTTTGATCTACAAAAGTAGTAATTATTGAGACTTGTTAATAAATTACCGCCAACAATTACCGCTAGTAGTTTACACTAGTATCACAATTACTCCATGCTATTTTTAGTATTTAAGTAGAGTTTCGAGACTACCAATAAATTAGTAATATGATATGTATTCACCCAATTTCGTTTAAAGTGATGAAGGACTGGTAGTACATATATGTTTGCTTCATCGACAATCCCACCAAAGAATATGATATGGCAAAAGGCCTGGCCTTCCTTGAAATTAACAGTTGACCTGTGACCCAAGGGCACTCATGGCAATGTGGCCGAGTGATTAACATGTCAAGCTCCCATTCTGTACTTTCACGGTTTGACTCTCACTGGGGTGTTGATAAGACCGATGCGAGGTCGAAACTGCAGTCCACCCTGGATACACTTTTGAGAAAGCAAAGCTATGTGAAATTCAGTGGAAACGTCGGCTCTACTCATATAATTGTGAGAAAATTCTACTACCAGTCCTTCATCACCTTAAACAAAATTGGGTGAATACATCTCATATTGCTCCCAGCTAGTTCAAAACATCTATAGGAAAAATTTTCCCAGCCAGGCTTCCAATGTCTAAGCCATTTCGCAATAGGATTATATGCTTCCTTCTATGGAATTTGAGAAGAGAGCTAGCTATCGAATAAAAGCCATATTTAGAAATCCCTTAGAAAAGAACAAGGACATCTCAACCAAATTTAATTAGATTTTTTTTCTTTCTGACATATCACATAGAGCCAAAGCATAAGGTGAGTGTGTCCTTGATGAATGAATAATTAACAGTAGTTGCTAAGTAAGTCCTACACCTAAGGTAATCGCAGCCTTTTTACCTCTGACTTCACAGTCCTCTACAACCAACTCTATTAATAACCCCTTATCTCTTTTCTGTGCTCCTAATTACTAATATTCGTATTATAGTAGGGTTTCGAGACATCTCATTATCCTAATTACTAGTACATAAAATCATCAAATTTTTCAGACAAGGCTGTTCACCTGAGAGGTGTAGTAAAGTTCTCTTTATGCGAAGCAGTGGTCTTCTGGTCGTTGATAAGAGTCGGGTTCGGCAGAGGAGCTGGCATCCAGCGGCCAGTAAGTATAGCCCAGAATTCATTGCTTTCACGTCCTGGTGTCTCGATGCGAATTTCGGCTTCACCTCGGCGCTCCTTCATCGATATACGCTCGGCCAACAGGCGCCCCTTGGTCTGAATCATAAGGCGGGACTGCATGCCTAACCAGAGATGGAGCTGCGACTGAGAATCCAGCAGATACACGAACTTAATATCTAGGCTGAGTGGATGGACAGGCATAGATACTATATGCATCCTTTTCTCTTGACCGAAGAGTCTGTACGAATTGTCAAAAGAGTTGAAAAAGCACAAGCAACAGCATCATAATCAGGAGCAGCGGGTCAATTAAGCACACAATTGAAGAATAGAGGCAGGATGTGAAAATGAAGATATAAAATATGAAGAGGTAGGAGTAGGAATGGCTGCTAAGGAGAAAGTCTAAGGATACTAGTAGAAAATAGGAATGAAGGAAGCGGTTGAGTAAGTAAATTAGTGATTCGAAAATAAGTAAAAAACGAAAAAAAGATAGGTAGATTCAAGTAATAGGAGATAGATGAAAACAAGAATAAGGTTCGGAAACTGCGTTAGAAATTGTAGAGATTATCAAGATGGTGTGGCCTTATGTTTGGTCAC